TCCTTCAAAAGAGTTTTTGCTTGGCTGGCTTCCTGCAGTTGACAAGAACAAAACATGGCAAAAAAACCAAAAATAAAATAAAATTAAGGAAAGGCACGTAGGAAAACCCAAACAATATTTTTAAGTAGATCGTGCACCATCTTCCTAAGTTTTCTGGCAATGTCCTTTTTACTTTTTTCATCTCTTTGCAGAGTGCTCCACCAGGAAGCTGAAAATATTTTTGGACCCACTCTGTCCGCTTAGGATAAAACCCACGTTCGCTCGTGAATCTGCCACAATAAATTGGTTAGTTTTTAAAGGAAGACTTAAACAGCAGAGGAAAGAATTATTACGATTTGAGAAAGGGGGTCTTTTTACTCTACACGGGTCTTAGAGAAAATCGGCTTTAAAGAAAATGCAGGAAGGCAAAGCTGATAGGTCAATAAATGGATAATCCACGAGGAACTGCAGAGCATCAAGACTTCGCCCCTTGTGAGTTCTGCAGGGCAGTGTCCCGCTTTATGTGGCGTGGTGGGTGAAGGAAAGTGCGCGTGTATGCTTGTTACCTCCTGATCTTCACTGGCCCAGAAGAAACTCCCGTCAAAGTTGGCCTGCCTACACCTGACAACTCTAGAAGCACCACCAATCTTACGTTGGGGGAGGTGGTTGGTCGGTGCAGAAAAACGTCGCTAGTCCTCAAACTTACACCTTTTCATTCAGTGCCCGTTGGAAGCTACAAGGGCGCTGAAAAAGGTGAGATATGACTCTTTTTTTCACTCTTTTCAGTGTTTGGCCAGCTAATTGGGGGCAATGAAGAGGCCATTTACCTGCCTATACCTGGTTGGGGTGAAGATTTATTAGGTTAGCCAAATTGCTTGGATGGGATTGGGGGAGAAGGAGGGGTGAAATGGGACTATGAAATCTGGTTTACCATTTGCAGTGAGCGCTAATTTCAGGAGGATATTTCATTTATTAAGGGTTTATTCTGCCCATCTCACCGCTGCTGCGTTTAGCGACCAGATGATGAGAAGTGAATTGGACAGGACCCAAACTCCCAAGTCTGTTCGGATAAGGTGGAAGGCTCCTGTCTGGTCTTGTTTGCATGGAATCCTAGGGCTGGGCGGGACTTTGGAGGTCTTCTAGTCCAGCCCCCGGCCCCAAAGCATCCCAGACAAATGCCTGTGCACTCTTTTCTTGAGGACTTTGAGCAAGGGAGCACCCATAACACCTGGAGGTAATAATTATAATTATTACAGGTGTCCCTGTGACAACCCTGTGACCAACTTCGTCGTGTCACTGGTGTTGATGGTTACCCAACCAGAGGCAGCCTTGTTCTTCGCTAACCTCCTCAATCTTCTCCCCCTAAGGGGGAGATGCCCAGTATCTCTTGTGGCAGGGGGTTCCATGGTTTAACTAATGCACGATCTAACCCCTCTCCACCCACTTGATGCAATTCCCACATTGGGAGTTACTGCTTCCATTTATGCCACTGTCCATGGTCCTGCCTTTTGCCTTCTGAAAAAGGTGCCAAAAAGGTGCACCTGGTTCACTTCTGGAGAGGAATTCACCTCCTCTGACTGGATCCAGAGGAGGGGCAGAGCAAGGGAAGTGAACAGGCAGGGAAGAATGCCTGTTTGCAGAGAAATTTCTTGACTTCTCCTGGGCTGGAGTTTGGCCCTTGGACACATAGGTGTTGAGATGATGGGCACCGCCTGGTTCTGGGTGTTAAAAACATCCCAGTTCGTGCCCATCAGCCACAACCATCTGCCAGGGCTATTAGCACCTCTCTTTGTCGACACGATCCTTCCAATTTGTCACGCAGGGGAGGGCGGTGATGGGAGGGAGGGCTGTGGAAAATCTCTTCCTCCGCAACTGGTTAGGTGGGTTTCCTGTTTTTCTGGCGCTGTGGCGTGTCTCCTTCAAGAATGTCCATCAAGAGGTTGGATTTGGGGTGACAGGGAGGGCGGGACAACCCAGACGGGGTTTTGGCGCTGAAAGAGAGACGCTTTGAGCACACCTTGGTTAATTTATTCGTGACTCATTCTCAGGCATGGAAATGGCTCTGCGAAGTCCCCAGTTGGGAACACCTGACTGGAGAATCCCTCGGGAGGCGCCGATGGAGCAGCCGGGAGCAGCCACCTGGCTAGGCACCTGCTTCCCAGAATGGCTCACTGCTGCCTCTAGTGGTGGGAGAGGCCAAAGCAGGCAGGTACCTTAGCAAATTGAGATATTCTCTATGGGAATCCTCGACCTATGACCAGAATTCAGCCCCAAATGAGGAGGCCTTGGTGCTCCCTTGAGCTTGCTTGCAGACATTTTATTACCCTAACTAGGTAACATTATCAGTGCTAGTTACCAAAGAGGGAGGGAGGGAGGAGAAGGAAGGAAGGAAGGAAGGAAGGAAGGAAGGAAGGAAGGAAGGAA